AGAGTAGAACCTTTCTGGGAGAGAGAGTGGTGAGACTTGGGTCCATGGCCTTGTGCTGGGCACCAGGGAGGAAAATCACAGCATGGTTCAGGATGGAAGGGACCACGCTGGGTCATCTGAGCCAACCTCCCTGCTCAAGCAGGGTCATCTCAAATCACATATGACAGGATTGTGTCCAGATGGCTCTGAGATACCCCCAGTGAGGGAGATCCCACACCCCCTCTGACAGCCTGTCCAGTGCTCAGGCACCTGCACATTAAAGAAGTTCTTTCCCATGTTCAGGTCAAACCTGTTCATCAGTTTCTGCCTGTTTCCTCTTGTACCATTGCTTGGCACCACTGAGCAGAGCCTGGTCTGTCCTCTGGCACCTCCCCTCAGATAGTAACAGATATTGATTAGGTCCCCTCTCAGTCTTCTCTTTTCACCTCTGAACAGCCCAGCATTTCCTCATAAGGGAGATGCTCCAGTCCCTTCATCCTCTTTGTTGCCCTCCCCTGGACCTGCTCCAGGAGCTCCATATTTCCTGTCCTGAGGAGCCCAGGACTGACACAGCATTCCAGATGTGCCTCACCAGGGTTAAGTGGAGTGGAAGAATCACCTCCCTTGACCGGCTGTAAAGATCATTCCAAAGATGTGAAAACTTTTCTGTTAAAGGTCATTCCTTAGCTCCCATATGAAGCAAGATCTTAAGGTAAAAAAATGCTGAAGGAAGAATTTTATACAGAGCTGAACTTTTGGGTAGTATATTGAAAAAAGTGTGTGCACTGGCTTGTGCTAAGAACTTGTTTGTAAATACTGTGATTTGTTTAATCCATAGCATTGGTAGTGTTTAGCTTACTCTCCCCACAAAGCTGACACACACGTGGCATTCTGTTGTGGTGGGACGGGGACCCATGTGCAGTCTCCTGGCAGACTGCACAGGATGTCAGTAGGCCTCACTCGGGTCAGGCCATTCCCAAAAGCTGGAGCTGGTGCCCAGGACCTGCAGCAGTGCTGGCTGGAAGGGTGGCAGCTGTGTGACCACCAGGGGAGATGGGCACTGGCCCAGGGTAGACACAGAGCCCTGCAGCAGCACGCTGTCCCCTGGCCCTGGGGCAGGACATTCACACCTTACTGCAGCCACCAGGAGCATGTGGGTGTGCTGGGTTTTGAGGAAGGTGGCTGGTATACACAACTTGAAAAATTACAGCCTCTTCTCTTGGCCAGTTGAGAGTGCACAAACATCCCAGTCTGCCTGCTTTCAAAGCAGGCAGAAGGTAGACCCTGTGAGATGCCTGCAGTAAGCCCTGTGGACTGGAAAGGCCTCCCATCTTTTTTTGGTGATACAAGCAAGAAGTTTCTGCCTTGGAAACAACAATTTTAAGTGTTGTTGACATTTACAGTGAAGGTCTCCTCCATTCCTTCACATAAATAACAGAGAAAAAGGCTAGAATTGAGACTTAGGCTGATTCTCACTGTGTGGTCACTGTCTGCCTAATTTCTAACTATTTAGTTTTTCCGAATGTCTGAAAATTTCAGGGTCGACCTGAAGTCAATATGTATGGTGTTCAGACAGATCATGCAGTACCGAGCTGCCTTTAGAATCTTCTGATGTTGTAAGGCAAAGTTGATAGAATATGTCAAGATAACTCAGGGTTCTTAGATAAATGTAGTTGACTCCTCCTCTAGATGGGAGAAAAATGTGCAGAGGCTTCTTGCTTTGTTTTCATAGTAAGAGTGCATGCATAGTGGTTGATAGATGAATGGGTTAAATAATCTCCCACTCTCCCCAGTGAACTAAATTCTCCATGACAAAAAAAATATATATAATAAACAGGCTATGGCTGCAGAAAACTGTTCTATATTGCTTGCCCTGCTGATGCTTGTGTAGACAACTTGGCCTTTCTTTTGTCCTTGCACAATTTCTTTCAGTCACTGACTTCCCGGCAGTGGCTGTGCACAAATCCTGCTTCTTGAAGCAGGAAGGAATTTTTATTTGTAGTATTTGTTATGTGTACTTGAACTTGCATTATTTTCACTCAGTACATAGGTGTCTAAGACAGACTGTGCTCATCACCCCTTCAGTTTGTTACCCTGGAGAGAGCATGTCTCATCAATTGACTTTGCATAATGCAGCTGCTTTCCTGGTGCCCAATTTTCTTTAGTCACAGCCTGGAGGTGAGCCCTGATATCGGGTACCTGTGATAGTCTTTGCAGTGGGTGATTGCAGGTGATCCTCCACCTTGCCCCAGCTGTATTGAAAGATCCTGCCCGTGGTTCCTTATTGTTCCTAACTGCTTTGTGGTCTTGTGCAAGGTTGCAGGTCAGCCACAGCAGCATCTGGTGATCCTTCAAACCTTTCCCCAGGAAAATGCAGAAAATGCAGTAACTCCTTCTGGAGGAGGTCTTGTCTTTCCATCCTTGTGCCAGCATCAAGGTTCAAGTGCAAGTGCCCACTTTAGCAACAGTGCAGTAGAGTTCCAGCTCAACCAGAAGGATCTAGTGCCTGCCCCAGCCATTATCTTTTCCTGGCTTGTAGCTCCTGCTTCTGCCTTCCAAAAAGAGGGCTAGACCAGATGACCTTAGTGCCACTTTCATTCCTGATGTGGGTGAGCACTTGACAGTGAAGTACTTTGTCTTTTATTGAGCTTCGTTTGGCAATTTTGAATAGTAACACTGAAATTTGTGCAACTTCCAAAACTTTTGGATGCCATGTATTGTTGGACTGTGGAGTCTGCTAAAGAGCTATTTTCTATTTGTCCCTTCATAATCTGTACTGAATGCTCGATATTGTTGTGTTTTGTTTTTGGTTGGGAAGCACCTCCATTTCAAATGCTGCCATATCCACTCCCAAAGTAGTTTTATTTCATTCCTGAGCAATCACTGAGAGGACATTGCTAATTATCTTGCAAGATGAGTAAACCAGAATCACTTGAGTGCATCACTCAACTCTATTCTTTTAATGTTTTTTCTAAAATAGTCCATGGGATGCTCTCCAAGTAGTGCAGGGTGTAACTTGTGGGTGATAGAGCAAACCTGGCATAACAAAAGCTTGGTAGATGGGAGGTTGCAGCCCTTGACATGCAATCCTTTGATGTCTTCTCTGAGAATGTGAGAAAAAAAACCCATCAGTAAATATGCTGTCCAGCAAAAGCCAAGGTGTGAAGCAGGCCAAGGAGAGGACTGTGGCATGATGCCATTAGAGGTCACAGCAACCTACTGCTTTTAGGGCAGATTTAGGGGAATAGCATTCCTGTTGGGAGGGGAAGCCTACTGCCCATGCATCAGAAGAAATTCTTGAGAATTTCTTGAGAAGGAGAACTAAACACCACTATTTTGTTATCAAAGTTGCTTTTACCCTTATAAATTGCCTCGTCCCTTGCTCCACTCCAAGCTATGATCTGAAGGTAATCACACTCCCCAGCTTGTAATGGTTGGCAGGTGCTATCAGTGCTGCCATATCAAAACCTCCCCCAAATCTCAAAGTAATTGTCAGAGTTTTCTGTTTATCACCTTTGTGTGTCTGGCCAGCTTGTTGTCAGGTTCAAAACTCTTTGGCACATGGGCTGCCTTGAGCTCCTGTGTTTATCCCACACATTTGTCCTGTTGCTGCTGAGGAAGGGCACAGTGGAAAAGAACAGAATCTCCCCTAACTGTGCTGATTGCAGTAATTCATGTTTGTCAGGAAAGCTGTTTAAGATTGAGGTGCAAAATCACTTGTTGTCAGTTTTCTTAATGTTTCTGTACCATTTTTAGTCTTTCATAAAGAAATGAGACTTATTTGTTCATTTTGACTGATGTTTCACAAGAATTCTTGAATTAGTTGATAGATTTGAGAATATTAGAATATTTGCTGTCTCCCAAGCAAAAATGGAAGGGGACTAATCTTTCACAATCTTTCCCAGTATAGATAAAGCTCAGAAAAGCCATATTCAGAATTGCAAAGGGAAGTGATTGAATGTCCATATGGATCCAGGAGAATTCTGAGCTCATGGAATAGAAATCATTGCAAGTTACTAGATATAAGGAATCTATGTCTGATATATGAAATCCCTGATTTGAAAACAGTTAAATAGCAGTAGAGAATTTCAGGGAAGTAGATCTGTTTGCTTTGGTTTTGTTCTCCTCTTAGACATATGCTTAAAACCACAGGTAGAATCAGGGTTTGGAGGCAGATGGATTTTTTGTCGAACCCAGTACAGACATTCTGAAGTTACTGGTACATTTGTAAATACAGATGAGCCAGAGCCTTACTGCTTCTTGGCCTTGGTTTGGTCATGGTAAAGGAGTTTGGATCTCTGTGGGGGAGAGAGGTGGAAAAATTAGGGACAAATGAAAAATCTAGAGGGAAGCAGACTCTAAAGTTTCCATAGTCAATAGAATTATATATATGTAATCACTGTGCTTCTGCAACTTAATGCATTTAATTTGTGTGTGTGCCTAAGCTTGCATAACTTACATCCTCTGGTTGCTTCAGCTTTTGCAGGGTATCAGCATAGGCTGCAGTTCCATGGGAATTTCTTTACCCAATTATGGTACTTTAATTGAAGAAAGACAGACTGAGGAACCTAAACTGAAAGTAACCCACAGAATAAAAAGCATCCGTTTTAGCCTGGTTCTGTTTCTGCATCCAGTTCAACACTCAGCCACATAAAAGCTTTTCTGAAGGCCAGCAGTGACAGTGATGCTGGCCTTTTCATGTCTGAAGTGTTTGTGAGACTGTCATCCTAGGGCAGGGGATTTGAAATCACTGCTATAAAATGGACGGTGCGTGTTCCCTGTGACACTCTCCGTGCAAGGCAATTGCACACTGCATCAGAATTTGGCACACAACGTGGCTTTGCAGGCTGTGTGTGAAGGTCATTGTCCAGAGAAAATAGGAATATTCAGCTTAGTGTTCCTTCCTAATGAGAACCTTTCAGTTCCTTCAAGTAACTGCTTCAGGTGCTTTACTCCACATTGTTCCTCATTTCCGTTAGAAGTCAGAACTTGTTCCTAATGTCTTCTTCCTTTCTCCCCAGATAATCTGATCAAAGCCATCCTGTCAGCAACCAAAGATTATCGTCTAACTCCAGCTCTTGACAGGTAAGATGACACCTTCAGAAGAGAAGGAGTAGAAGTGATTCTTTTCCATATGTCCTAAATAAATTTTGTTTGACATATTTTGCCAGAAATTATTGCCAGTACATTTGAATATGGATGAGTAAGTCAGGAGCTGAAAACTGAGTCCTCTTTAGAGTAAATCTGCAGACTCTGGAGACCTCTGTCAAGTCAAACATAAGTAGAAAAAAGCATTTAGCTTTTGACTATTTCCTACTCATTTGTTTCATATGTTGTTCCAAGACATCCTCTTGCCCTGTTTTCAAATAGGTAAGTAGCAGGTTTTCAATAAACACTTTGCTCTTTTCCAGCCTTTCTGAGAGAGCAACAAAATCACAAAGAACTTTAGAAGGAAAGAAAGGACTGGCTTATTTCAACAATGTTTTGCATTAATACCTCACTCTCAGAGTAGGAATGTTTGGTTTTGTTGGCCAAGCCTGTGCTAGGATGAACAGGATAGCAGTCTCCTGGGTCCTGTGATATTTAAATTGATGCCTTTAGAAGAAGATCCTTTGATTCTTCAATTCTGTTGTAGAGGTTGTTTCTGAAACTCACTGGCATGTTTACAATCAGCTTCCCAGTGATAGTCCTTTAGTCCTTCCTGTCCTTGCTTTTCTGTCATTCCTTCAATTTTTCCTGCAGGTTTGGTTTAGTGCCACCTCCCAGATTAGGGATAGTTTTTTTCAGAAGCTGTCAGAGGTTTTTACTCTGGGACTTGAGCTCTTTTCCAAGTCCTGGTAATACATCTTTCCAGTGGTACTTAACCCAGGCTGACAACACAGTTCCTGCTTTCTAAACACATGGGTTTTATTTCCTGGCCCAGCTCCTCTTCTGCCCACTTTTGGTGACAAAGTTCATAAGCTTAACCAGTCTTTCTGTAGGTCCCTGCATCTCTCATGCTGATTTGTAGAGCTTGCCTGCTGTAGTTGGGGGTTACTCTCTGTGTGAAAGCTTATTCTTAGTCTTGCACAGTCTATGTGTTAATTTAGGTTTCTTTGAAGTTTGCCTTGCCTCACAGCAGTGCCAGATAGGGTTACACTTCAGACTTTGGATTAATTTGAGAAATTATGTCCAGAAGATAAAACCATTTTACAAACGACCTTCTTAGAGATTTTGCGCACAAGTGAGTCTTACCCATCTGGGGTCTATCTCAGTTCTGGTTGGAGACTTAAGATTTTAATCTGTTGGAAAATCCACATATAGACTCTTTCAGAAGGTTGCTCATATGAAACTAGTGTTAATTACAGAGGGCAGGTGGAAGATTCTTGCAGGGAAGGTTAATGTATTTGTGACCCTTGCTGCTCACCTGTTTTTGAGGAGTAAAATGTTTCAGGCTTTTTAAAAGTAATTTCGCAGGAGATCCCAAAGCATAATGACTTTGGCATGAGCTGCTCACCTTGGTTTGTGTTCTTTTTAATGAGTTTGGTGCAGAGGTAGGAAAGATCTTAAGTCTCATAAAATGTATGCAAAATCCATGAGATACCAAGTGCAAATGAGACCTCAGGAACAGGCTAGACATTTATTTCTCTGGTTTTGCAGCAACGAGGCTTGGTGGTGTGTAAACACACAGATATCTTGGGGCAGTACTGCTTCCTTGGGAATTGTGATAAATCCCTGTCAGTGGATGTTGGTTGTGTAGTACATATGCATCACAATCCAATAGCTCCCAAAGCCCTTCCATGTGAGCCGGTCTTAGGAAGGATAAAAACAGAAGTGCTTATGAGAGAAAGTGCTTATGAGAGAAAGAGAGAAAGGAGGCTTGGGATAGCAAGCTAGAAAGTAAGAGCCTAAAGGAGGAGGTGGATGAAGCTGCAACAGAGGAGTTTTATTAGGAGAAAGAGCTTGAGAACTGAAGGAGGTGTTAAGTCTGCCATAGTGCTGCTCTGGCAAACCAGCTTGGTGATCAGGGCACAGATGAAGACTTGAGTATCATTCCCAGAAATATTCTTCAGTTGTAGACATCACTGAATTCCAGTGCCGCCAGCAATGGGTATCTGCCATTTTGGGTTCCTAAAAAGCTGGTGGAGAAGACTGGTGGATGAAGGCTAGCTCCTTTCTCATCTTGTCTCAAGCTCCAAGCAGATCCTAAGAGTTCCCCTCCATGGCAGCGCCAGTATGCCTGGGGCAGAGCCTTGGTTTTAGCTACCCCCTTCCTGCTCACTGGTCAAGGAGAAAGTCCAACCTCTCCCCTTTGCTCAACACCTTGAAGCAACTGGAGAAAACCTGACTTAGAGAACCTTGAAAGGTCCCTTCCAACCCAAACCATTTTTGGTTCTAGAGAGAGAACCATTCTAGAGAGAGAACCATTCTTGGTTCTCATGATAGAGAACTGAGAAAATGTCCTATTGTGGAAGAATTAGATAAGAGACACAAATCACGTCTGTGAAGTTCAAGGGGTTGGGCTTGGGAGACCTTGTGAACCCTTCCACTTGTAGGCTCTCTGAAGTCCAGAATCTGGGCTGATTCGAGAAGCAGGAAAAATGCTCCAGGTTCATCTTCTTTTCAGAATGGAGTTACACCAACATTTTCTCTGTTGGCAAGCCTAAGAAGCCGTATTTGCTACTGCTGCTGCCCTTGTCCTTGTGCTGCTGCTATTGTTTAAAAGGGGACTTCAAAGCAGATCAGTGAGATGATTCCAGTTCAGGAGCTTTTCTCTCAACCCAGGTCATTCCAGTGACTTCATTTCCAGAGTCCCCTCCCACTGAAGAGTTGTGTGGGCACAGAGCTGAAACGGCAGCAGGAGAGGCAGAGGCTGGGATGGGTGGGGAGGGTGAGCACTGCCCAGCCCATTGGAGTAAGTGTTCGTGTAACTATACACTGAAGGCAGCTTTCCCAGGGGAAGGGTGGGAGAGGCAGGAAAGGTGAGGCCAGAGCAGTGCGTGAGAGCACAGAAAGGAAGGAGAGGATTAGAGTTGTGTGGTGGAGGATCTCTACAACAAGCCTTTGGTCTTGTTCCTATCCAAGCTTCTCCATTTCTGCCCTCCTTCACAAAGCTGGTCCTTGAGAAGTTGCATTCACTTGCCTCTCATAAGCCCTGGAAATGAACTTTGTTTGATTATTCCTGTGCTAAAGGGCATCCTGATGCACCTTTCCTGACACAATGTACTGACATGGTGCTGAAATGAGGCAAACGTGATCCTTCCAGGTATGCGTGCACTTTTCATCATCCCACAGCAGCTTTGCCAACTCACTTCCACTAATCCCTCCATTGTGTTGTAGCTAGCAGCAGCTGGAGGGCATGTGCACAAAGGCTGTGGTTCACACCTGTAACACAGTGTGCATGGTGCCCTGCTTTCTCCATGACTCCTTATTACAGCACCGTTGTGTTGAGTAGTAACCTGCTCCTGCTCCAGGGCAGGGGGCAGGAAAAGCTGCGCTGTTGTTCAGGAGGGCAGTTACAACTCACCCCTGGGCTTGTCTGGAAGAGTTTGGAGATCCAGGGGACTTTCTCTACTAGAGCCACTTCAGAGCTGGCATGTCTTTCTCCCTAACACAGATGTCAGTGGGCCTCATCTTTGAAACTTCTTGCCCTCTAGGCTTTTCCAGGCCCTCTTATATTGCTGAGATTCTCATTGCTTGATTTAGTGGCTCCTCCAGTGGCCTGTCCCTCATTCTGCAAATGGATCAGGACTTGATTTATAATTCCACAGCCCATCTGCTGGCTGGACTTCAGTGGATTTTTGGGTTACATCTCTGTGGTGATGACATGTAAATTTCCTATGAGAAGACATAAATATTAAAGCCTGAGTGATGTTTTTTGTATTGCTTCCAGCTGATAATGAAAGAATGAGAGTTTGAGCTTATAACTATCATAGTCTTTACAAATGCAGTATATGACCTGAACAAGTGAGGAAAGGATTTGATAGAACAAGAATGGTGTGTGTCCCCCTCTGATTCAGGCAGATAGCACCCATTTAAGTAACAGAGTATGTTAAGCCTCCTTAAGCACCAGCTCCCCTAAAGATGTATTTTTAATTATTCTGTTATATCTTTCCTCAAAGCCTTCAGATCCAAAGTTGTGTAAAGAAAGGCTTTGTGGTTTTTCTCCCCTGACAAATCCCTAAAGCACTTCGATAAGAGAGAAGAGGAAATAGGAATTGCTACAAAGTATACACATGTTTACAGTTCTATATTGTTCAAGAAAATCTGCATGAATCCTGCTTTTGGTGCAGATGAACTGAACCTTGGAGTATCTGTGTCAGGAGTCTGTACATCTGGCTGCAGCTCCCAGTTTAGGGCTTTAGGGAGTATCTGTTGTGGAAAGTCCATGACCGTCCTTCATACCACCCTGGTAGCAAACTGAAACATGGGCTGTGTCTCATGTGCTCAATCCTTGAAATCTTCTGGAAAAGAAATAGGGCTTTGACATACTGTGTAAACAAGCACAAAGGTGTTTGCACACTTCTTTGTGGAGAAACAATTGAGCTGTAACTGATGCTGCTTGCACTGTGTATTTCTTCACCCAGAAACTTGCCCGGAGCCAGCAATGACTGTGCAGGTTCCCCATGCTCAGGCACAATCAGTAGACAGAGTATATTTGAAAGAAATTTAAGCTGTTAGAAGATCAAAGATGAGACCTTAGGGTCAGAAAGTTACTAATGAAAAATCTTATCTACAGACTTAAGGAAAAAGGAGAATGCATTTAAATATGTCAGAACCATGAGGGTAGAAGAGTGGTTCAGACATGAAGCTGGGCAAAAGTGATTAACCTATCAATTACAGTGAGTAAAGGCAGAACCATTCAGTTAAGTATTTGTTTCATTTTTGGGGGTAAAGATAGAAAGATGTCTCATTTTACAGCAACAGTGAAATACTTTGTGATTCTTTTATTAGTAACTACAAGGGTATTAAATGACAATTATATGTCTTTTAAAGTCAATAAGCACTGAAGAGTTAAATAAAGAATTCTTGTTGTTATTACTGTTTGCTTTTTAGCCCTTCCTGGAATGTTTGAGAAAACAGCAAATGTGCCATTCCTGGAGAAATATGGGAGATAATAAAGAAGTAGCTGTAAGTTGATTCATTTGGTTTTGCAGGAAAAATCCTGCAGAGGACAAAGCCAGGATGGCAGCATAACTGATGTTATGTTACTCTGGGTTTGTGGAAATTAAATCTTGCCATGTAGAAGATATATTTTTAGATGAACAAGAAGCTTGAATGGTAAAGGTAAACTTTTAGAAGAGCACATTAGTTATTTGTCTCAGTCCATTATGTTCTCTTTCTATACTACACCATTTAGCGGTATCCTTTTTAGGAATAGAATATGTTGCACAGCTTTAAGAAGTTATTGTCAGTGTGGAGAATTAATCCTTTAGTGACACTTGTAGTGAAATCCTGCTGGCAGGTGTTCACAGGGGCTAAAACCAGTCTGGAGTAAATGTGAAATTCCACTAGGAAAATTTTCCAGAACCAAAGACTGGGAAAGTAATGAGCAGGAGGGCCAAGTCAGTCCTGACTATTTTGTTGCATCCTTCACTGGAGCCAAATCAAAAATCAGGCATCACCAAGGCAACAATTCAGGTCATGTTTACAAGATGAGGATTAAATTCTGCAAACCAGTGACTGTAAGAAGAGGATTGGAATGATGTAAGTAAAATCTCTGTGTTAAAGGCACTCTACCTTGAGCAGCATTAGCTCTGAATGCTGGTCTTCCAGAATCAGTACTCAGGAGATCTGGGAAGTTGGGAATTGTTCAGGGACGTGCTGCAAGTGTGAGTCAAGACCTAGAAGAGCTGCCATACCGTGCAAGATGTCATGAGCTCACTCCAGTTTGTTTGGTGAACAGAAGATTAGGAGTGGGGTTAGATCAATCGATGAGTCCTGTGTGGGAGCAGGGCCATGAAGCTGCTGGAGCAGCTTTGGCTGGTGGAACTGGTTCTTCTGTCTCATGTGCAGCAGCTCATGCTCACCAGTCTGCCCTGTGAGAGGCAGATGTTTGTACACAGTGCTTTCTCAGTCAGTGGATCTCATGCAGATGTGGAAGGGACTGCTGACAGTAGATGGTGCTTTAATTTAGCAGGAAAGCGAAGAAAGCGATTAAGTGGTTTGAGGTTGAAGCAAGCAGATCTCTATTCAGAATTGGTAGGAACATCCTAACAGTAAGTGGGAAGAGGATAGAGTGGAGTGCCTGGAGCTTGCAGCCTTTGGATTTCAGCACTGTATTCTTCTTCAAAACAGAAAATTCAAAAGGAGTCATAGCTGAGAGACAGCTGAGTAGAGAAGGTACAGTATTTCACCCAGAAGTCGGTTTTTTAGGAGGTTAAACTTTCCTGTCATAATCATCAAAAGAGTGTATTTCCTTCTGAAATATCACTTGGCCAGAATTGAACTATGTCTCTTTCTCCCTCCTACAACACCTTTTCCTTAAAGGTTTTGACAAAGCTGCTGCCATCTTTGTCACTCATTTTTGTGTACTCCTTTCCCTCTTTGTCACAATATACTGCCTGAACCAGATCTTGTGTCTGATTTCTCCTTGTTGCCAGAACTGGTTTGCTTGGGGTTTTTTTGCTATGCCATCATCTATAAAATTCTTTCTCTATTGTGGTCTGATTATCATAAACACACACATTTCTTTAGCCCTTGGGAATACTGGGCTAATATGTCCGTCTGCACGAGGAAGTTTTTTCTTTTGGAAAGGCTTGGATCTGCAGTGGAACTTCATCTAGGCAGGGGAAGCTGTTCCTTAGCATTTCTTGGGTCTGTTAATTCTGCACGTGTCTCCAGCTAATGTCTCTGTCAGCAGAGTGACCTTCAGTGGTTTAGCTGAGTCTTTCAGTGCCCTCCAGCCCTGCTCTGCAAAAAGGGACCCCACATAAACACAGCTTTCCTCGTGCTGGCTCTTGAGACTTAACACAGAGAGGACAGCCCAGAAGCAACCAGTTGACTGTGCCTGGGACTAGGAAGGCTGCCTAGTTCAGGAATCTGCTCCAAACAACTGATTGCCTTGGACCCTTTCCGAAAAAGGCTCTGCAGACACGTATTCCTTCAGTGAACTACCAGAGCTGGAGGCACACTGCCAGAAGAGCCAGCTGCATTTGGGATTAGATGGCTGGAAAGAAGTCCTTTCTCTGTCTTCAAAACAAAATCGCTTTTTAACATCTGCTGCAGAGTTCTCGTGACTCAGGGTTCCACGAGAAACTGTTCTCTTCCTTCTCTTTCCTGTTTCTTTATTCATTAAGGTTATTTTCCTTCCCTTTCCTCACCTATTGTGTCTCCATATATATTTCCTACTGGACAGGCATGGGGGGGGAAGGGTGTCTTTTTTTCTCTCAATTGAATGTTTTTCTGTCTCTTGAAGTCTCACCATAACAGCAGCAATTTTGCTCTCAGCAAGGTGAGCACACCCCAGACACCTGGCAAGATCTGCCTGCACTCATAAAATCACTTGGAGAGAAGACTTCCTCACTAAACCTTTGGTTTATTGTTGTTTCAGTGCTGAATGAATAATGAGATGGTTCAAGTAAACAGATGGGTTTGATTCAAGCCCATCATGCCAGGGGTGTGGGGGGAGAGGAGCTGCTTGTCCTGACAGCTCATTTCATTAGGCCACACGTGGTGTGAGGTGTTGAAAGCAATTTATCACATGTAATGCCTGGGCATGATGAGGTGAGCTGAGGATCAAGTGTATCTCTGTCCCCCTCTTAATTCTTCATATTTACAGAGGTTTCCTGTAGTTCTCAGATGCATGCAAACTAAATATGTGCTCTCTGTGTGTTTGAAATTCTGCTACAAAAATCACTTCTGTTTCTTCCACAGCCTCAGCTGCCGGCGATGTATCATTGTGGGAAATGGTGGAGTACTTGCAAATAAGTCATTGGGGTTAAAAATTGATGACTATGATGTTGTTGTCAGGTAAGTCTTTGGCATTACAGTTCTTTCTCATATTCGGTTTCTGTATCAGTTCACTTGCTATGCAGGCAAACTTTAACCTGTACTAGTGACAGCATCCCTTTGTATGGAAGCATTAACTTACAGGGAGGGTAAAAATAGACATGAGCTTAAAAAGGTTTGTTATAAATGATGATCACATCAAAGGGTAAAGGCATTCCTCAAGCTTTCTGTTTTCCACAGCTTATTGGGAATGTGGTCTCTTGTATGATATCATTTGAACCTTCCCTTCATAGCTCCTTTCTAAAAGCTGCTTTTGTGATATCCTTAGGTGGTCAAGCAGTAACTCACACTGCTGGATCTGGTCCCAGATATATTCCTGTGGTAGCTCAGGACAGTATTATTGGTCGTACATGTGTAGCATTCCCCAGGAACCACATCTCACAGTTAGGATGGGCAGGACTAAGAGTGGTGCAGCGTAGGGTGTTAGGAAGCAGGAAGCCTCTATGACAGAGGACCCAGCAGTGCTTAAACACCTGTAAATGTGCCCTAGAAATTGGCAATACTTTGGCTCTGTGTCTCTGCAGATGACAATGTTGAATAAGGCAGCAGAAGCAGAGTGGTGGGGGTGCCAAGGACCACAGTCAGAGTCAGAGCTTCTTGCTTTTGCTGAGGACCTGGATCACGGCCATCTCAGAATGCCTGAAAAACGTGCTGATATGTGAAATCACAGGTCTAGTCATAACTCTCAGTAATAAATCTGTCAAGTCAGGGAGGCGTTCTGGGTGACTGGAGATTAACAAACATAATACCTGTACTAATGGAGAGTGAGAGAGTGCGTGTAGGAGGGAGGGAGGATGTGCTCCAGGGAGCTACAGACCCATTAGTCTGACCTGAAAAAAAAAATGCACTTTTCTATCAGGTTTTGAGTAACAAAATATTATTATGGTAAATTATGAAAGTGAAATAAACTGCAATGTAAGTTTATAAAACTGGTTTAACATAGTCTAAGTTGGTATTTTTTTCTTAGTATTAGAAGAAATATATCTGATATAATCTCTCTCAGTTTTAATCAGCTCTAAGACAGGGTGGCAAATAGCAAGTTCTTTGCTAAAGGTAGAAGAAAGAAAAGGATTAATAAAGGAATTTAAGGCAGGTATTATTTATCACAGTCTCTATTCTCTCCCATGTGTAAGGAAAGAATAGGACAGACAAAGAGAAATAAATATCTTCTAACTCTGGAAAAATAGACCAAGAAGATCCCTTTCAGTGTTTGGTTCCTGTGAATGGTTCCCTGCTTCTCCATGAGTATGCTGGACACAGGGATGGCCATTCAGATCAGAACAAAATTTTTACAGCCCTTCTCCTAGCTCATCGCACTATCAGTTGATAACAAAGAGCTCTTATTCCTCGTCCTAGTCGGGTGACTTGTAGTTATTTCAGCTGAATTAAAATGCAGTTTTTAGCCTTTCTTTGGGCTCAGGTTATTAAAAAAGTAGCAAAAGAGCAGTTTCAATCCATCTGGCCTAAGCCACCCACTAAGATTTACATCAGAAAGGCCACTATTTAATTTTGAAATGAAAACTTCAACTTTTCCTCTCCACATCAGTAAATCTATGTCAGTTTGCAAGCTGGGAGGATAAGAGGGCAGCTAAGCACCTGTGCTGTTGGTGGGATGGATAAAGGAGAGAGAAGTCAACTGTAAAGGTTAAATGAAGCCAGGTGCTTGGATATGTATCCAACTGCTTGCTTTATTCATGTGGAAGCTGGGGAAGTCCCATGTATTATAACATTCTTTTTCATACACTGAAGAACTTCTTTGAAGGATGATATTTGGGACCTAGGGAGTGAATTTTAAATTAAAAAATGTGGTACATTTGTGGACAAAGGAGTGATCCAGCAGTATGTGGAGTTCTTTGATGCCTCCTGTGTTACCATATGAGGATTGCTAATTGCAGCAAGAAATTTTGTTCTTTGCAGGGAAGATAGTCCAATTCAGCTTTGTCAGTTCTAAAAGAGCTTGGAGTGAGTTACTGTTTTTCTTTAGTTAGACATTATCAGATTTCAGTGCAGATGTTATTCCCAGCTGTCACACCATTTACCTGGCAGGACTTATTGCATCAGTCAGTTGTCAGTGCTCTGAAATGCCTCCTCAGAATAGATTGCAGACTGGGCAAAAATAAGTGTGTATCAGAAATTCCTGATTAGAACCAGATAGGGATTAACCTGATGGTGATGCTTGAGTGGTGTCTGAAAGGATCTTCATGGTGGCAGGGTTAGGAGTTATGTCTCCATATGTAATCAGTGAACATAGAAAAACCCTCTGGAACTTCTTGTGGAGAATACTGCCTGTCCATGGGCAGTACAAGGAGGCCTGAGATCCTAACTGAGGTTTTCCAAGATTCAGCTGTGTTTATAAGCACAGTGCATCCTGCCTGGGAGGGGTTTAGGCTGTGGAGTCTGCACCTTTGGGTGCTGTGGCTGCCTGAACTCTCCCTGCTCCATTGCCCTCACTGCCCTGGGCCTTGGTGGTGCTGGCTCTGTCACTGTGGCTCCATCAGCAGCTCACACTCTGGCCCTTTGCTGGACACCTGAGTTCATTTCCCTTGGGGGAAATGGTTTGGGTTATTTCCTGTCTAGATACTAAGTAGGGCTCCCAAGTTTTGAGAGTATTAGCAAAGTAAGCAGCAAAACAGTGAACCCAGCAGCTGGGGATGGGAAAAACCCTGCCAAAGAGTGGCACAGTGACATTTGAAACAACTGCAGACACCTCCTCATCCTAAAGAAAACAGATGAAAATATGTAAAACTTGCTTTCTTTGCAGAATATTGGTAGTACTCTGTTACCTTTAGAGCTGCATTCTTTTGCTCTGTATAAGGTCATCTGCCCCAAAGAGACACAACACCTTAAAGTTTAAATACTCCCCACAGAAAAAGTGAGTGGTGTATGAATGTGCCATCAGCAACAGAGGAAAGAGCAAGGGATCAGGCTGGCTGGAAGCATTGTACTCAGGTCTAGTTCCTCAAAGTCAGGCTACAAAGAGTTTATAAACCATGGGAAAAGACTTCATCTGCTGTATTCATTGTGGTGATGCTGATTCTTAAATTGTTTGCCTTTAATATTTTATTCCTGATGATAAAATAAGTATTTTTGCTAAAAATGCTTAAGAATGTATTTCTCTAGATTTTGCATATGATTTTCAGATTGTATAGAGATTTTTATTCTACTAAAGTTTTCCGATGTAAAATGCTTATCCAGGTTACAAAAGACAAATCCAACATTCCTACATGGCAAAATTTGTAGTATATTGAACAACGCCAAATTCAGGAATGCTGCAATAATTCAGACAGGCAATCCTGTTCCATCAGAGGCTGCTGTTTGATGTCAGCAAGATTTGTATTCCAAGTTACGTGAAAATTCCTCAGCTTTGGGTTTTTAGTCTTGAATAGAAATTCTGAAAACTTTTATGTCATTTCATCGTGGCTATTCATGCCAAAGCAGTTTGCTTTTTCAAGGGAAAAAACTTTGTTCCTAAGGAATGTTTTAACAAAAGCATAGCTAAATATATAGCATCTCCTTACAAATCAGTGTCCCCAAGAGCAAAGCTGTGTGACTGCTTGAGTGTTTTCAGAGTGGGATGCACTTCCACTGCAGAAACTCCTTGGAGTCCGTGAGACTGCAGTGGTGCTGAGCCTTGCCCCAGCCCAGCCTCTTCCTTTGTGCTGGCATTGCAAGGCAGCTCACCCTCCTGATGGACCAGTTTGGGGAATTAAAGAGGTGCAGATTGATCCTATGGGATTTTTTTTTTCGAGAATTATTAGTGGCTTATTTCCCTGTGCAGCCTCCCTGCAGGTGAGTGGTGTAAGCTCTGGGCTGGGGTTGGAAAATGAGACCAGTTTTAGTTTGTTTAAACTGATGAGGAGCTTCATAATCTCTTTCAGCACAGCTTTGCAGAACCCAACTAACACATCAAAGGAGCAATGGGCCGTTAAAATATTAATGCTTAGTTTGTTACTCTAAATGTGCAAGAACAATATTCTTCACTTTCCTTTTCCAAAGCCTCCAACCCTATTTAGATCACAGGAGTTGATATGCAGAAATGGTTTGCATTATATTCAATGATAGAATTTATGTAACTTCTAATTAAGCTGTCGTCGCTTGGTACAAACCTCCATGAGTGTTTGTGATGAAGAACTGCAAGAATTAAAGTTTGCTACTGTAGCAGCTGCTGCAGGGAGCTCCTGCCCAGCAGTGGTTGCTGTGTCACCAGCACACAGGAGTGCAAGTGGGAGTCTGAGTGGGAATCTGTGACAGTGTCTCCTCTCTGGTTGCCCTGCAGGCTGAACTCGGCTCCTGTGAAGGGCTTTGAAAAGGATGTGGGTGGCAAGACAACACTCCGGATCACATATCCCGAAGGTGCAATCCAGAAAATGGAGCAGTACGAGAAAGATTCCCTGTTTGTCCTGGCAGGATTCAAATGGCAGGATTTCAAGTGGCTGAAATACATTGTTTACAAGGAGAAAGTGGTAAGAACGCTGTCAGCTGACACTGTGAAGGTCACCTAATTAGTAATGATGGGCAGACATTGTGTCACCATCATATCTGCCACATTTTGGTCTGAGGAGAGTTCCACTCTATGTCCTGCTGCATTTAAGTGAAGACTTACTTTACGTACAAGGACTTTAGCTTTAATTAAATATGTTTTAAAAAGACATCTCTCTGTAGCCTGTGTTGCATCACAGACAAGGCTTGCTATTCAAGATGGTTAGTGTGTACTATGAACAATTAAATTAATTTTTAGTTACCTTAAAGAGTATTTAAAAGGACCAGCTTTTGCCTGGATTTTATGGACTCAGGATTTGAGAGCAGAGGAAGGAAGAGAGCAATGGGAAAGGGAAGAAATGGGAGTTTGGGAACAAGGATGTGATATCACAGGAGGGGAGGAGGAGACAGCAGCGGCACAACTTGTTGAAAAGGCTACAATCAGACTAAATGTGACTTCCTGAATTGCACAAGCCATTATATTTTGCTCAGTTACTGAGATTCATGATTTGTGTTTGGTCAAAGTATCATCCAGAACAACAGTATCAAGTCTCGTTTTAAAACACTGAAATGGTGGATACACTGCCTTCCCCATGTAAAAATTTTACCCCCTCATTTGCATGAGTGCACTTCTGAGGCACCATGGACCTGTTAATAGTCAGGGTTGCTCTCTTTAATTTATCTACCCAGAACAGAATCAGGTTATGATCAATGACTTCTCATTCAATGGATAATTTGTCTGTCAGGAAATCCCAAATAAATAATGCGTATATTTCTTGTTTTACAAATCTTTTATATATACATATATGTATCTGTTTTCAAATGTTGCTTAATGACTTCTCAGCAAATAAGAAGACAACTGGATTAGCATTCAGGGCATGGCATATTATATTGTGTGTTTAGAGACAGAGAGAGGAGGTTGGCAGCTCACCACATACATAACTAAACGGTCTGGGAATATCATTGTATACAGTTGTTACACAGAGGACCTTAAGGGCTCATACTTTGCTCTTGTCTAACACTGGCACCAACTTGCAATTATTTTCTTGCTACCAGACAGATGAAGTTACCTGTCAACCTCTGGGCAAGCACAAGTGGGCTTTTGTAACATGAATAATTGAGTCAAAAGTAATTTTCTTTGCTTTATGTCAGGCTCTTGTTCCTCATTCAGGGAAAGGGAAAGCCCTGGCAGTGTCAGTGCCCTGCAACCCAAATGCAGTTGCAGGGACTCCTAGTGTTTGGCTTGAAGCTCAAAGGATAGGTTGGTTTGCTTCAAAACAAATTTAATTTTTCCCTGATGCTTGCAGTCAAGTCATCATCAGTAGATTCTTGTGTGGTATGTCCTGCTCTTGGAAAGGTGCAGAAAATAGTCTGTTAAAACCTGCTAGACTGGGGAGAGTGATTGCAGTTCTCTTAGCTGTGTGCATCAGTGCCCAGATTGGCAGAGAGCAGAAAGAGCTTCAGCTTTGTGCTTTACTTCAGTGTTCTTCTGATTGGCTCCTTATCCTTCAATTCTTCAGAGTAAACACTCTGAGGTTTTTTCAGGTTTTTTTGGGTGATGTTTTCCAGATCTCTTAATTCCTGATGCTCTTTTGAATGTTTGTAGCTAATTCATCTTTTTCTTAAAGAGCAGTGCCCCAAAATGTACAGACTACAGCAAAAAGGAGGAGCAAACAGATAATTCATTAACTTCACAGTTCTCATTCTTTATGCATCCACTGTTTCTGTGGCCTTTTCCACAATGGCATGGAACTGAAGGTGAGTGTTGGGTTCCTGCAGACTCCAGGTCTCAGGAAGAATTGGAGAGCAGCCACTTCCCCCACTCCACACCCTGTGCTGGTTCTGTTGGCTCCTCGTGCCAGAGAGCAGCACTGTGCACTTGTCCCTCCCGATCCTTCCTTCCAGAACACTCCTCCAGTTTGCCAAGTTCCTTTGGCAGACTTCCCAGCATACGTGCCATTCTTTCCAGATTCATGTCCTCTGCGATTTAATAAACATACTTTTCACTTCATCATCCAGGTTGATAATGAAAACACTAAACAATGTTGGTTCCTAGGCAGACCCCAAGGTATTAACATCCTTCCATTCCTAGAGTGAGCCCACTGAGCCTCCTGGATAGTTTTTTGGCCACTTCTGAACTTGTATCACGCTTGTATCATCAATAATGCTTTTGGCGTGTTTGTGAAAGTGATCTGTCAGAAGTTTTACTGAATTCCAGTTCGTGTCTTACTTCTCCCCTGAGATAATTTGTCTGTATAAAGAATTTTTTAAAAAATAATTCTGTCTTGACAAATCCACCTGGGCTGCTACTCAGTCTGTTTTGTTGTTGGTTTTTTTTTTCCAGGTGCTTACAAATAATTAATCCTGCTATTCTGGGAATTGAAATCATTATTCAACTCTCTTCCCTTTTTTGCCTTATTAAGTCTAGGCACTACTTCTGTCCATTTTTCAATCCCCCTACCTTTTTTTGGGTTTTGATACTCCAAAGGGAATCAATGCCAGTTCTTGAGACTGCTGAGCCAGTTCATCAAGTACTTTAGGATGCAGCCCAGGTGGCTGGAAAACATCTGTCTTGTGCTCTCTGGTGTTCTCATCTGATTTCTCTCTACTTGAGGCTGAGGTCTTGCTGTCACTGGCTTTAGCTGCAGGCAGGTGGCTCACACAGCTGCATTTTCTGGAGGAAACCAATGCAGAAAGTGCTGTCTCTTAGGAATGACCCAATGGAGGATGAGCAGTGCTATGGGAGTAGCACATAGGCGTCTGTTTGTTCTGGTAGTGAGTGTTGGTATTTTCATCAGTGTGTGGTAGGTTCAAAATGACAAATGCTCTCTGTGTGTCAAGAGTTTGTTTCTCTCTAGCTGATTTTCCAGAGAAAGGGGAGTTTCTTCCTTTCCTGGATTTATGTTGAGGCACTTGCATGACCTGAGAGCTCTGTATGCCACTACTGCTTATTCCTTATCTGACATGTGCATCTGCAAGACTTCGTGCAGACACACTGCAAACCAGTGGTTACAGTCAGGACTCTGGCCTCAGGATGGAGAGAAGGAAAATGGAAGCATTCTGCTGAAGAACAGAACAGCTGTGGAAGTTGATGCATTCCTCGAAAAAAAGGGCTGATCTCTATCCTCTGGTGTTTCCTTTGTCTGTGACTGTTGGTGGCAACTGCATCTGTCCATGGTACAGTCACAGATGGGTAATGAGACCTTCTGAATTCCTTCAGGCACCTGGAGCAGCTTGGACTTGCTTGACCAGGTACTGGGATCCTTGCTTAGTCCTCTCTTGAGTAAGTGAATTCAAAGGGAGCTGAGTGGAGAAAGAGTAAATGAAAGGCAAGTGGCTATTTATTGCTGGGTCAGTGGTCAGATTAGCTTATTCTCCCTGCAGCTGAGAGGGATTTGCTCTGTGTTGTGTTGGTCTTTTGGCAGCACTTGCATACTGAGAAAGGGATAAGTGCTGTGTAGAGAGGAGGATTTTCAGGAGATGTTTTAAGGAAAAAGAATTAATGTGATGCAGAAGCATTAGCAGAATAGTGAGGCAGGGGATTTTATGTGTTACATACAGTCTGGTGCAACAGCCTCCCTGATATTTGTTTGGTGCCTTAAGTGCCCCGGGAGACACTGTGTCCAGAAGGAGGAGCAGTGGAATTTGGACATAAGGAAATGTAAAAGCTCAACTGCTTTTTATTTCACACTAAACCAGAAAAATCTGGAGGCAAGTAAAAACTTGAGAGAAAACATTAACTTGAGAGAAAACATTAACGTAGAAAGCACAGGTTTGGCTAAATATTCACTGTCAACAGCAAAACAAATGTAGTCTCCATCACAGAGTTCTGGCTGAGCTGGCACTGCAGATTGAAGTCTTGTAGGAAGATAGAGCTTAGCATATCACCAGAGAATGTAGACCTGCCTTTAAGAAGGGGAAGGGTGAGTGAATCCAAGTGACTAAAACACTGGTAACCTGATTTCCGTCATTTGACAAGCACTGGAATAACTAAAAGAGAAAATCATAGCACTGGTTGCAGCTAGAAGTAGTATGGGATGGAGAAAGGTGGCATGGTTAGCAGAGGGGAGTATTGCACCAGGCTGACCTAAAAAGTCAGTGTCCAAGTGGAAAGGAAGTGGGCTGGAGTCCCAGAGCCTGCAGTTCCATGAACTCATGGCTGTTGCAGAAGGGTCACAGATGTGAGCTGTTCGTGCCTCTGTGGTGGCTGGTCTGGCTGTGCTGACTTGGAATCACTGCTGTAGGAGCCTGTGACACATCCAGACACCCCTTTGCTGATGAAACAGCTGCTGCCACTGCATCACCAGAGGGGGATTACTCATGGACAGTCACTCAGAACAGTTAAACTTTCTCCTGGACTGTTATTTTTGCCAAGAGACATGATCTATATATATTGTAACCCACCCCACTGCTTCCCAGTGCTTGTACTCTTGCATCTGCCTGGGCCTTTCAGTGACAGAAACTCTTTCTGAATACACAAAGTAAGAGAGGAATTGCAGAGGGATAGAGGCTTGGTCATATGTCGCTTCTTAAAATAATGGTCAAAAGCTGAAAGTTTCTCTGCTGCATGGAGAGTAGATGCTTCCTGAAACAAACAGGACTTTACAAGCTCCAGATATGCAAAGCAGCCATGTCAGCCTGGTACTGAGGCCAGTTCCAGGGTGGTTTCTTGGCTGTCATTGGTCAGTTAGAGGGAGTTCTCTGGCTTGCTCACATCCCTGAACATCTGGCACATGGCAATGAAGCTGCCAAGTGAGGGCAAAGGTGCCACTAGAAATTGGCAGCTCACAAGCTTCCTGCTCGTGTTAATGAGCCTGTGGATGATTCCAGTGGGAGTCTCTGTAGCCTTTGCCAGGAGGAGTCACTTGTGCAGAAAGTGCCTGTGGCACCCAGAAGTTCTCTTTGATAGTGAAAGTCACAGGAGCAAGTGAGCACCTGCCTGTGAGTGAGGCCAGGCTGGGCTGTCTGTCCCGTGCAGGGACAT